CTTTCTCTGGCTTTGTTATACCATGCGGATGCTATAAGTGAGGGAAAGATATTAAATAAGCATTGCAAATTTATATTGACCTGTCTACTGCAGATGCCAAATTAATTTTAGTTTGTATGGGAAGATATCGGAGGGCCAATTTGTATGATCTGGGGTGCAGATAATTTCTAAGATTATTGTAAAGATCATGATTGTATTGTATGATAATAGATATTAGAGACTACGCACGGTCTCTTCATCTATGACCATACATAGTCTGGATACCTATGGTTTGATAATGTGTATGTTCACTTCTATACATGTTGTATTAAAGTAAGACACCTTAGCAACCTGCCTTTTATGTGAAGTGAGTGTGGCCAAAAAAATGAAATGGCAAAATTTAAATGCAAAGAATGGTAAATATTGTATACTGAATGTATAAAGACTTCAAGAAAACAGCTTACATGCAGCTATGTGTGCAAGATGGTGAAAAAATCTTACGATCATTTTACACTAGATCACATACAATAGTCTTTTTTGCTTTGTTAATAAAGAATTATAGTTCATGAGCTACCATGTAGTTTAGAAGGAGTGAGCTTGCTCAATGTGGCACGTGGCCACAAATTTGCCAAATTAAAATCTGTTATCACCAAAATTCAGCATTTCGTCAAATTTGCCTACCTCTAAAATTTCTTGCTCTACGGTACACCATAGAATGTCAAACTATTAGACTTTTTAGAAATTGACTCACCTCACCAACTTATTCCTTTCATTCTCTACAGTTTTTTATAAAATTATTTTTACATCCAATAGCACGTGGAACTGTTAGACTTGTGAGAAATGGAGTTTTCTCACACACCTATTCATCTGGAATAGTTCAAATCTATTACAGTGCAAGTTCTTCCAGTATACTCAGTTGGGGCAATATTTGTGACGATACTTCATTTGGTGATAATGAAGCTAATGTCATTTGTAACCAGTTGGCGTATAATGGAGCATCAGTCTATGGTAGAGCTGGTAGCACATCAAGGTAAAGATCTCACAGACTGGATATGGTACACAAGCATGTGACTAAATTTAATACACTAATGAAAAAATCAATTTTAAGATGGAAAAGCTTAAGCCAAAGAGGGAAAATGCTTCTTCTGCCCCAACCCTAAAAGAAACCCAGACAGTTATTGCATGCATGTGTAGTGATAATTTTTGCAACAAACAATTAAACTATTATAATGTTGTTATATACTACATAGTTTTGGAATTGACTACAATGCTACTATTCTTGATGATGTTAGTTGCTCTAGTAGTAGCTTTCTAACTCTAGAGCAGTGTTCTCTTACTACAATTATTTCAATCACTTGCTCTCTTAATTCAAATGATGCTTTTGTAACTTGCTGTAAGTTAATAAATCCTATATATTAATTGACTTGCCATATCTAGCACAAGCATAACTGGGCCTCTCTTTTGTATTTGTTAATTATTAGATACTATTAGAATCTGGAATAATCCTTATCCTGGACAGATTCGTCTACAAGGAAGTATCTACACAAGTTATGGTAGACTGGAAGTATATTGTAATGGACAGTGGGGTACAGTATGTGATGATACTTTTGGTGCAGCTGATGCTAAAGTTGTTTGTCGTCAATTAGGATACAGTCATTATGTACTAGCTCATTCTGGAACCTTATTGTTAGTTGTAAAGTCTAAAGTTTATTGACACTATTTTTATTTGAGCTATTTTTTGAAATTAGCCTATTATTATTATGAACATATTTTATTATAGAGCTGGGTCTAGCTTTCAACCAATTTGGCTGGACAGGGTTTTTTGTAGCAGTTCATACAGTTGTCTTGCTTCTTGTGAATCTTGTCCCTCTTCACAATATCATAACTGTTTTCATAGTGAAGATGTTGCAATTGCATGTGGTCAGCTCCTTTATCTTTATTTCAGTGATAAATTAAATATTTTTAGAATTTGACAGCACTGAAACAGCTTCAAGTAATACACTAAATACCTGCCAATATTCTAGCACTACAGGTAATAGAAGAATAAACACAATTTCATTAGTCTTATCTTTAATAGGTACAACTCCCACCACTCCCACAACTGCCACCACTGATACCACCACTGCCACCACTGATGCCTCCACTTGTGCTACTACTAATATCTCCCCTGATATTGTAGGAATAATTGTTGGAGTAGTGGCAGTTGTTGGAACTACAGTTACATGTATATAACACTTTGGATTGCTGTTTATATTGTCTATAGTCACATAATAGATTGAATCTATTATGATTAAATAGTAATTTGCCTTTGCTACTGTGATGCTATGTAATGTGATGTAATGCATATGCTGTTATAGAATCTGTTTGCTATATTTTCCCTGGTATTTTACCAATTTTATTTTTATGATGCTATTGCTGATTAACTGAGCACTATAAACTTATTGCAAGAGCAAAACCTTTCAACAGTAGTTGCGATACGATGATGAGCAGTGCTATCTCCTAATTATGTCCCATGTAGATCTAAATATGATACAAATGGCTTTCCATACTCCTGAGGCTCCTGCTTATGATCAACAGCCATCACCAGTAATAGCTTATCCTACCAGGCAGAGTTATCCACTTCAATAGGGATGTCCTGCTCAGCCTGGCTTCCACTACAAGGATATGAGCTTTCCTAGGCCTTTTCACATCCTGTTTTTCTTTCACATCCTGTGTGGCCAATTTATATTTATGGTAGATCTATAATAATAGATCTAGTGCATTGTGTGTCAGGCTATACTCAACCAGCTCACGGATAAATATGCTTTTTTTCTTACTTTCTTTGTTCAAATTGTTCTAAATAAGGGTAAAAATATTGTGGCCCAAGCCATTGACCTAATCAGTGTTATATACTTTATCATCATATTTAGGTACTCCTCAGTTCACTAACTGTCCTAGTTCAGTGTGTCTCTCTCAGCCAGTTAGTTATGAGTGTACTGCAGATACAACTGATGGGGCTACTGCTTTAAATTGGAGAGTATTGGATACTAACAATGATCCAATTACTGGTGCTGTTACATATAATAAAGGTCAAGCATTACCAGCAACGTCACCAATTAGTAGTGACTTCACGACTAACCTGACAGCTAGTTCTGGTCCTATTGTCTCTGATATATCATTCACTCCTTCAGTGAGTATCAGTAATTATACTGTGGAATGTAGGGCAGGTGGTCCATTTGGTTATACACCAGTCACCTGTATTATACTGATAGCAGGTAAACTCAGCATTAGAATAACTCAGCATTATGTTTTTTTTTTTTTTTATTAATAATGATTTTGATTGAAAGGCATTCCAGCTTCTGCTGCTAATAATAACCTCACCTTCACATTGACTAATGTTATCTTCTCCTCGTCCCCATCAACCAGTCCTTGTGTATCTCATTACAATGTTAATGTTACTAGTATTGAATACACTATCAATACTAATGATACTAGTCTGAGTTTACCAGTACCTTCAACTAATGATACAGAATATTCCATTAGTGTAGTAGCTGTTGATACTGGGGGTAGATATAGTGATGCTATAAATAATAAGATTTATACCTGATGGTATGTAATATGAATTATAATCACTTTATTATTATTATTCTGTCCAGTTCCTTTATCTGTTGATAATTTGATGTTAACACAAACCTATTATCCAACTGATACCAATGGAATTGCTAATATCACTGCATCATGGAATCCAGTAAAATAATCATAATTATAATAATGGAATATTATTATTATTATTATTATTATTATTATATATAGCCACTTTCATCATCTTATCCTACTCTACTTCAATATCATATTAGTTACAGTGAACTTCAAGATGTAACCATTATTTTGCCTAATGATACTTCACAAACTCTATCTGGTTTTACAGTAGGATCAGTATATACTGTTGGAGTAGCTGCTAGTAATGCACTAGAAATTGGTTCTACTGCATTAGCTACAATAAGCTAGCTTTAGTTATTAATTATTATACTGTACATTAAATTTATACTTAGCTATACTTGCTATGTCAACAACTGAAGTACCTATTGCAACTAGTATTATAATATCTTCAACTATATTTACCTCAACTATCTCAACTACATGTATAGTTACTTCAGCTATATCTACATCAGCTAGACCTAGTACAATAGCTACTTCAATGCTTGTTTCAGACATTACAACTATGCAAAACACCTTGCAAAGTACCACTACATTTACTAGAGGTAACAAATTCCTATGCTTAATTCTAAATCACATGCATATTACGTTAGGTTGTAATTCTGTCTCCAGTACTACTGTACCTATTGCAGTTAGTGTATCAGTGACATTTATACTGACAGCTATACTGTCTTCAACACTGACACTAATACTGACACTGCTGTGTGTTAGGAGCAGATCCAATAAACCAGTTGAGCAGGTTAAACCAGTTGAATGGGTTGAACGAGATGAGGGAGGAGCAACAGCATCATTTGCTGTATATGATGAGATCACTACTACTAAAGGAGGAGCCACCAGTTCTGTTCCACTAACAAGTAATCCAGCTTATGGACCATTGAGAAATTAATTTAAATATTTATCATTATAATCACTGTGATTGTATACTATAGTAAATCTGTGTGATTGACTCTCACTTACTATTTTGTTAAGTTTTAAATTTTATATTATCTTTAAGTTGTGTATCAATGCTAATATGAAAAATATGAAAGAGAAAGTAGATAAAACAACAACATCCATTGTAAAATACCAGTTATTGACTTTCGTATACATTTACTATTATAATGCATAATAGCAAATGTTACTAAACAGAATGAAAATTTATAATAAACACTTTTATGTAGTGTTGTTTTAATATTAGAACTATAGGTTATACTTTCTCAGCTACACAACTATCAATGTATACTGAGTGTGATTGATACTTGAATTTTAGCCTCCAGCATTTTAACAATTTTAACATTTAATTTTTTAGAATGTTTTAGTAACCTCAATGTGTACTTGTTGCAATTAGTTGTTCCTCATCTTCATGTTGTGTATCAGTGTTACTGTATAAATGAAAGAGAAAGCAAATAATACACTTAACTAAAATGTATAGATCTATACATTTCTTAGTGTAATGTGTGTTAACAGTACATTATAATGTATGTTAACAATATGTATACTGCATATTTGCATATAGTCTTGTTTACTCATGAGTGTATGTTTATAAAATAAGATACTTGCTGTCAACATAACTATGTATATCATTGTCAAGACTTGATTTGTGTATTTGATGTCTTACATTTTTGGAGGTTCTTCTTTCTTTGCTTTTTTACTCTCAGCCACACAATAGCAGCAATAAATGACAGAGAGAGAAGAGAGTAGCCCACCAAGGTATCCAAGAACCAGCAAACCGACATTGAAAGGATTGACAACTGTCTCTATCAAAATAATGAATCGTTATAACATTATGTAAGTCATATTGAACAATGTCATAAATATACAAAAAAGCTTGAGTGATTTCAATAAAATTGTTTACTCCAAAATCAACCAAGAACCAAAGGCTATAGCCTTGGGTCCTTGGCCAAATTTTATCAAAAATGGCTAAGAGAGAATTTTTTGCTTTTACAATTTTATCTGATACATATACATATCCTTATGTTATTTATCAAGTTTGAGCTGATTCAAATCAAAATTAGACTTTTACGAATATTTAAAGTTGCTCAAAAATTGGGTCAAAGTCCCTGTACTATATAGTACAGTCATCGGCCAAATTTTACCAAAAATGAATAGGAGAGAATTCTTCATTTTTACAATTTTTTCTGATACATATACATGTTCTTATGTTGTATTTCAAGTTTGAGCTGATTTCGATTACAATTGAATTTTTTATGAATTTTTAAAGTTACTCAAAAATCAGGCCAAAGACCATGGGCTATAGTAAAGAGATTTTGGCCAAATTTCGCTAAAAATGACTAGGAGAGAAGTCTCTATTTTTATGATTTTTTCTGATATATATACATGTTCTTATGTTATTTTTCAAGTTTGAGCTGATTCTAATCAAAGTTGGATTTTTAATGAATTTTTAAAGTTACTCAAAAATTCAGCCAAAAGGCTATATAGCCTTGGGTCATTGTTCAAATTTCATCAAAAATGGCTAGAAGAAAATTTTCTATTTTTATAATTTTTTCTAATAAATATACATATTTTAATGTTATTTATCAATTTAGAGCTGATTTTGATCAAATTTTTTTTTTCGAATTTTTAAAGCTGATCAAAAATTTAACCAAAGCTGTTATAGTGCATACAATATGTAAAAGTTGCTAGGAGGAAATTTTTAAAATAATGAGCTGACTAGTATGTCCTGTTTGAGTACATGTTGGTGACACTGTAACTATATAAATAAAAAAAGAGCAATAATATTAATCATTGTAAAACTAAGCTTACCAAAATTTGATGTTTTCATTGAATATATCTCTGCAGCAAAAATAAAATAAAGTTAATAAAAATTAATTACTTTCTAACCAAAAGCAGTAGTAGTGAATGGTCCAAGTCCAATAGGATTACTGGCAGCAACTTGTACAGTGTATGTTGAACCAAGAGTGGCTCCATTGATGACAAAATCAGTAATAGGAGAAGGTAGGCTAATAGTAATATCAGTACCATCAGTACTAATGTTAGTGATCAATAAATGACCAGTAATTGTAGGATTGCAATGAAGAGTAAACTGTAATTAAAGTAACATAATTGATGCTAATAATTATAATTTTTATTTATTTTTGCTTACATTAAATGATAT